GTATAAATTACTGGTAAAGCTTTAAGAATAGTAATTTGATTAGCAGATTTGCTTTTTTCTTAAAACTTTTATTGACAGATTTTATTATATTTTTGAAGTTTTAAAACTATTTATTAGAAAATTGTAGCATATTTTTAAGAATTTCTAATTTATCTACTAATAATTTAGTTTTTTAACTATCACTTAAAATTGCTTGATGTTGATAATTTAATACAAATTTCTTAAGAGTAAGTTAAGTTTAAAAAAAATAACAGGTTTTTAATACTTTTGCATTAGATAAATAATTTCAATAGAAAATCATTTTTTCTTTGTTTATAAAAATTTAAATTATTTACTTTTATCAATTATAATTCAACATTTCTATTTAATTCAATTTATATAATAGTTATAATTTTTTTATTATTATTTATATAAAGGTAAAGTTCATATTTTTGAATATCAATTAATGTAATCTTTTTTTAAGAGGTATATTAATAATATGAAAAACTGTTTCATTATTATAATCATATTATTATATATAAAAATATTATAAATGAAATCAAAAATTGTTATATATATATAAAGAAGAAATATTTTGTATTAATTTTCCAATTTAAGACTAATGATATATTTAAACAGGATATGCATTTATATAAAATGCATTTATTAAGAGTTAACTATATATATATATATATTTATTTATTGAAACTTAATATTTTTTTTTCATAATATTTATCTTTTGGTTATTTTTAAAAATATAAAAACATTGCTAAAAGATAATTTATAAAACTTAGTTTTAATAAAGATCTTTTATATTTATAAATAAGATAAATATTTTCTTTTTTTTTATAAAATCAAAAAAAAATAAACATCAATAATTTTTTTTTATTAAATTAGTAATTCAGAAGTTTTGATAAACTATTTGAAATTTTGAGTTTTAATAATATATTTATAATAAAACTATTTGTTTATAATGATAAATACCTTTGGTTATCATAAGTTTACCTAAATTCAATAAAACAAATCTAAATTTTCAGATTTAAAAACATTATTATATAAAGGTTTTAACTAGGTTTTTACATTTTAAAATTATACATTTTTAGCAAGTGGTAATCATTCCCTTTTCAATGGTTTGAAAGTAAGACATTTTATTAAGTAGATTTGTTTCAAAGCAATGAATGATTGACTAAATGTCAATTCAGAGTTAGAATCTTTTACTTGTAAAGTGTAGATTTACTTGCATGAATTACTTTTAAATCTATATTCATCATTACCATCCTATCATATCCAAATGCTAACTAAACGATTTGAAAGAAAACAGATGAAATCAATAATATTATCAAGTTCCTTTGAAGTTTTTTTTTTTTGTAATTCTGTCTAAGACAATCGGTGGAATTTTTTTTTATTGTTCAAAGACATTTGAATATCTTATATAATAATGTTATTTTTCTTTTTAATTATCAGACATACGTACATGTATTGTTCTCATATCGGTATGAAGTTACACCAACTACATGATTTTGGAAAAATTTGTATTTCCTTTCAAATATTAATTAAAAATTTTAGAAATTTAATTAGCAATCGAGAAATGATTCAAAAAGATTCCAACTACATTGAAAATAATACATATTGTTTGAAGTTTTTTTTTTTTATTTACAGTAACAGGCGATATGCATGCAACTTTAAATCAAACAAAAATAGTGTGAAGATCGTCAACAATTAGAATAACTTTTCAATAAAAATAAATTGTTTTCACCATTCACATTGTTCTCTTTGATGAAAGGTAAAAAAAAAAAGTATTTAAGAGAATCAAGAAACTTTTTTTATTTGCGATCCAGAAAAAACAAAAAAAAAAAACAAAAAAACAAATACAAAAAAAAAAAAAAAAATGTAATCTCATCAATGAATTTATGCATAATTTAACACGACTTATGAAATGAAATTTAAGAACTATCATACGACCAACAAATTATATGGTCATTACATAAAATTTAAAAACATAGAGGTTAAGAATATATTAGTTGTTTGCACAATTTATGATAAAAGATTTAAATAACTTAACACTTAAGAGGAATAACTAAAAACATAAGCTTATGTAGAAAACGCGTAGGATGATGATCTTATAAATTATGTACGAGCTCCACGACGTTTGATTATAGCATTAATACGAGATGACAAGTTGCAATAGTTGAGTTTTTCATGAACACTAGCACCTTTCAACAAAATATCAGTAACTCTACTAATCACGAGACCGCTTGTGATTTGGATTTGATTTGCTTCTCTTGATACAAAGTATCTTACCAATCTTCGCATGGTAACTCTAGTTTTAGGTCTTAATTCTTCATAAACGTGTATTGGAATGTTGACCGGAGGCGGAAAAACTAGGGTTCTGTTCAAATCAAAAACCAGTTTAAGTGCTGATACTTCGTCCAAGTTCATATTGAATAAAAAATTTTTATTCTTTTATGTTTTTTCTTTTTATTTTATTTTTTTTTTAAAGGGGGGGTTCAAGTAACGGCACTTTATATGTGTATAATGTCTTGATTCAAGTCGTCAACGCAACGGTAATAAAAAAAAAATTTTTCGTTTTCTAACAAAAAAAAAGGTGAAACGATTTAAACTTGATTATATATAGTCTACGTACATATCTTTCTTTTTTTAAAGAAAAAAAAGCTTGTTAAAATCACAAAATTTATCGAAATAAAATTATCTGGAAAGTTTGTTTCTTCAAATAAAAATTCTATTTTTGGGATTTTATAATTCTATTTTTATGTCTCAATATGAAAACATTGAAAAAAAGGATGTGATGATATGAATAAAGTTATCAAGCTCGAGAATTTGAACAGTAAATAAATAATAAAGATTGGCAATCGAATATATAATGATTAAACGTGTATATACATGTATATATAAAATATAAAAAAAAAGATTTTGATAAAGATCATAAAGATCTTATCAATAATGTTTTATGGAAAGTAATAATTAAAATTTAAATTCATGAACAAATAATAAATTACAAAGTTACAATATACTTCTTTGATTTACGTGTCTCATGATCATTTTTTGATTCAGTATTCGGAATTATAATCAAAATAATATAACTATCTAATTTATATCCGATAATATCTTCAAGTTTATCATGATAAATTGCAATGAAAATACTATAAATAGATTTAAATTACAACATTTTGTTAAAAAAAAAGCTTTTGCTGATTACACGATTACACAAGCAATCCTAATTTTGAAATTTGAGTTAATTTAAGATTTTTTTGTATTTTTGTACCTTAAACAGATAAATAAAAACAAAACATACGAATAGGCTTTTTATTTATCATAACTATAATGAGAGTAAATTTTGCATTGTTCAGTTTAACCATTTTAAATGTTTCGGGCTGTTTCAAAATACCGTTTCACAAAATGGAAGTTGCAATTTGTTTGTGGATGACGTACGCAGTACCATGAGGTATTTTTTTTTTGTTCTATACCAATGAGTTGGGATGGCGACATCACAAAAGAATGAATATTATGATCGTTATGCATACAAAAAATTTTGGTGATGCAGAAATTATGGGCGTATTTATTGGATGCTCATTAAAGATGCGCAGTGCTCCATCATCTTGGAGAACATTATAATAATAAGATTCTTAAAAAATGTAAATATAACTTACAAGAGAAATTCTCGTAAAGACTATTTGGATTCTAAAAAAAAAAAAATATCATTGAATAAGTAAAATATGATATAGCTTTTTAACTTACAAACAAATCTCGTTAATGCTTTATCTTTATATCTTTAATAATTTTTCTTATATTTTATGCGAACTACCTCTACGAACCGAACAAATAACTAAATAGGTAAAAATCAGTTGTTTATAGCAAATTTAGATATAGAAATAGTGTTATTCTTTATTCAATAATAGAAGAACTTTATAAATCTAGCGCGATCAGACCTTTCAATAACATTAAAATATAGCAAGATTAGTTGTCACGATCATTTTTTTCATAATAGTATCGTATCGTTAATTCAAAAAATCACTGGATAAAACTAGAACATTAGAACTAGAAATTATCGTAACGGGATACTCCATACATTCATTTATTGATTTATCGTCTCTTGGATATTGCGTTAGGCAGAAACCAATATGACTGGATAAAAAAAAAAAAAAAAATCTGTAAGATTTTCGTCGTAATATATAATTTAGCGTTTGGCGACCCTGCGACAAAAAAAACGATTTGTGAATTAGTATTAATTTTTATTATTAAGAAGTTTTTTTTTTAAAAAAAAATTTTTTAACGCAATTTAAAATTGAATTTTGCTAGAACCAGAGAATCTCGTCTTGTAAAAATTTGAGGAGTGATTTTCTATTCTTAATGTTCAATAATTTGGTTCCGTCATGACTAAAATTGTGGAGTCGACTTTGTTTTTTTTACAGAAAAAAATTGTTTAAAAAACATAATGATGAAAGCTTCAACCTGTCAAAATTATACTTTTTTATTATAAATTATTTATTCTGAAATTAAACCAATCTTTAAAAATTAAATTTGATATTAATACAAAGTTTTTGAATATTTACATATGAAAAGTCATACTCGAATCAATAATTAATTGATTAATTTAAACAAAGTTGTTTATAGAGATTAGTAACCATAAGAAACTTTAAATATAAAAATTATATGAAAAGAATCCGTAAATTGTAAAATTTTATTTGGTATTTTTATTCAAGTTTAATATAATATTTGACGTCCGGTAAGTTTTACGAAGCTCGAATTATTACAAATTCAAAGTACTATTGCCTACACTTCATCACTTATGATTTGAATTAAAACATATGTAATAACAATTACTTCTATGTTAAATTAAAAGAACACACGTAAGATATTTTAAACATACGTAACAAATAAATATACTAGAATAAAATATCAAAATACTAGCATCAGATCGTTTAACAGGATATTTATTTGGTAACATGAAACGAATTATGAATATATAAATAAATATAACAAAAAAAAGTCATTTATAATTATTAAAAATTAGCAAAAATTTCAGATGCATTTTCAGATCCTTCATAGTCTTTATCTATCTCATCATCTTCATATAAATTGTCGATTGCTTCTTCTGTCATTACTGCTTCTCTTTCTACCTCAACATCTACTTCCTCTACTTCCTTACATTCAGTTGATTTCTCTTTTGTCACATCGTTTTTATTAGTCTCCCACCAATAATAATACCAAAAAATCAAACCAATAAAAAGAAAACCATAACTAATAAACATTGGAACCATTTTTTGGATCCTTTCGATTTGATTACAAACAACTGGATCAGGTGATGTAGAAGTTGGACATTGAACGTCGACAAAAAAAGAACATATAATTATAAATAAACCTGCTAATATAAAAATTCCTGCTATGGGAAACGAAACTTTAAATGTTATTATAGGGTCAGCATTTCCATCCTTATACCTTTTGAATCGAATTACAAATAACCCTATACCAATGGCAAGATAAAAAATCCAATGACTGTACATTGCAAAAGAAGAATATAATTCAAAACTTGTAATGACAAAACTACTCCCAATAAACAAAATAAATAACATACACCAAATAAATTGCGCTAACAATGCATTAATTGGCGTGTTACAGTATTGATGCCAAATTTTTAATTGATGTAAATATTTTGGAAAAAAACCCGATGTTGCGGCTGCAACAATGACTCTTGATCCACTATATATTTTTGTTAAAGGAAAAAAAAAAAGGTTACTTTAAATTACAAAAATAAGTAATATGAATTAAATTTAAAAAATATATTTATCATCATCTACCTCCATATATTTGATGCAGCAGTACCAATTAAAGAAAGTACAATTAGAAACTCAAATATTTTTACTAATATTACATTGTTATCAAATAATTTTTCAAAAAAGGGTACGGCTATGATTTGAACCGTTCTTCTATCCTGTAGTCGTATCTTATCTTCAGGTATAACAGAAATAAACGCAATATTTATAAGAAGATCTATAATTGAAAGGTTTTTAGTATCATAGCAGAAGTATTAAATCCTTCCAACTTAACATACATACATAAGAATGTAACAATGACAACACTGATACCATTACTGACAAGAAACTTATTTTCTACACTTCTAAACTCATCCAGCGAATCTACAAAGAGAATTCGTTATTATGATATTTACTCATCAATGTTAAAATAAAAAAAGATACGCAATTTGAATGATTTACAATTTAAATTGTTCCATCCATTATAGCTAAACATTATCTATAAATGAACAAACTTTTGAATATAAATTTTATTGTAAGTATTTGAAAAATAATCATATATATTTACCAATAAAATAGCGGAAGGATAAGCTGTAAAATCTTTATTTACGCTTAATGGTTTTTGCCAATTGGTACGACTTATTTCCCAATCTAAAATCAATCTGAAAATTCCAGCTATTGCGATAATTGAGTATGTGATCAATTTTATAACTGAAAGTGTTTGATTTATAACATTTGCCAGTCTATTATTAATCATATGATATGCTGTTATAATAAATAAAATTGCAATCGCTATGAATTTTACAGAACTAAAAAATATGATTGATTAAATCTTTAAGCTACAAATTGCTACTAAAATTCTTTAGAAACAAACTTTATTCATACCAAAATGGAGAAAATGGAAAATTCCATTCATCGATATCTATCTTGTTATCATTTTGAGGTCCATTAATCATATACCAAAAATATTTCGCGGCAGAATGTAAAATTGCACATGTAATTCCCGGCCTAATCACTCTAAATAAAAATAATGACCGGATTATTGACAAATTAACCAATACTTTGATTAATTCAAAATCAATATTAAACTTACAAAATGTACATAAAGCTAAAAAGGTAGCTTATTAAAAGTTTTGGGTTTGGATAAGCAGCTTGTAAATATTTCAATTCTCCTCCACTATCCTTATGTTTAACACCAAGTTCAGAATATACTAATGATCCCGACATACTAATAATTCCACCAATAAACCATAATAATAATACAATTCCTGGAGACTTTACTGAATTCCATATCATTCCTGCTGTGGTAACGATCCCTGACCCAATGATGCTGTTTATGTTCATACCGATACCAAAAACAGCACCCAAAATATTCGTTCTAGATTGACTCATATTTTAAAATGAACAACCTTTTTCACAATTTAAAAAAATTTTTTATTAAACTCAAGTTAACATTGTGCTTTTATTTATCTTTATTTATCCAAATTAGTAATTGCAGGAAGTCCGACTGGTCATTAATCATGTGTGTGATAAATAAGGAGTAGATCTAATTTAATTAGGCAACAATCCCGGATGATCAAACGATGATTTTAATCTCATTACAGTAATGCAATAAAAAGATATAAATTCCAATAATCTCATCATTATTTTTTCAAGTGTTTTAAAAATACATTAACTATGCTATTCTTAATTGACGCTAATTTTTTTATCTTGCTGCTGCAACAATATCGGGACCCACTATATATTGAAAAAAGTTAATAAATTACAAAAGTTGTATAAATATCTATTCAGAAATAAATGAAATAAATATAAGAACAATAATTGAAAAAGGTTTTTAGAATTTTAATATAACGATTAATTTGTAACTTAGACCATTCCATTCCAATTCCAATTATAATGTACATATATATACAATAATAAGACAATTAGTGAAGGGAAAGTTTCTAAACTCGTCCAGAGAGTCTACATAAAATTCGATTTCATAATTAATTAAATAAAATCACAATTGAAAATACTTCCTAACAATATTGTTCGGAAAGAAATCTGTAATAGCGGCAGAAACATTTTTTTTTGATGATATTTCGGTTTTATTCTTTTTTTTTTTTTTATTGAAACATATTCTTACTAAAAATGAAAATTTATTTTAATCAATTTATAAACTGAATACAAGGAGTAATATTTTTTTTTTTTTGGAAATCCTGTAAATCCTGTAACACATGACCGAAGTTATTCGTATATATAAACAAATTTTATATCGAATATATTTTTTTAATTTGAAATAGGAAGAAATCGTTCGTGCATAAGTCGAAGTTGTTTATCTAGCGGTACCCTAAAAATATCAATTTTAATTATGAGATTCAGGTCTAGGGTTAATAAATATTAGACCCAAGGTCCAAAATAATTTTTTTTACTCCCCAGTATTCAAGGTTAATAAACTAAATCCCAATAATTATTATTATCATTATTATCATTATTATTATTTGGTTATAATTCATGTATTATTTAGCGCGTTAAACAGATGTTAAGGCTATAACAAATAATTAATGTATACAGAAATAAATTCTTTTTATATTAATTTTTTTCTTATGCATTTAATAAAATTACTTACAACAGGACATTTTTTTTTTAAAAAAAATAAATAAATATATACACAATAAGAAACGAATATTGTTAATAACGAATTTTTTTTTTTCCGCCTATATCGATTTATTATAAATTTCCCGAAATTACATTTACCAAATTCTAATTAATATACAGTATTTGCAATAAGCAAGTACCGACCTTTTTTTTTCTCAATCATCGTTCCATATGCCCTAATTAATAAGGATTTGCCTCAAATCTAATTTTGAAATGAGACATGCGGTCCTAAAATTCGGGCAAATTGGATTTGGGATGAGAATACCGAGTAATAGACCCTAATTTTCATCGCAATTATTGTGATTATATTGTATCCCAAGGAACTACCCTAAATTAAACTTTCGATTTTGAGTAATCCAACTTGAAATTTCAAATTTGAGCAATTGCAATGTTGCTGACCTAATTTAAATTTAGGGCAATTAGAACTTACCAGTGTATTAGGTAGCAAATTGTTCCCAAGTCAATTTAGGATTTGGAAAACCCATGTGAAATCACGTTTTAATGATCTGCTCCTTTTTCCATGTGTGTGCAGTAAAGAATCAGTCCCAAAACGTTACGTTTGAATGTCAAATAGTATATTTTTTTCTTGCATTCATTCCTAATTTGTTTTATTTTAATATTAGATATGATGATGGAATTATTTAAACTCCCCTCGAATGGAAAATAAAAAAAAAATTCTCAAATTTATTAAAAGTCTTCAAAAATTAAAATGAATTTGTACGAACATGATCCCAGAAGAAAGATTATAAATCGTGCTTACGGTATTGGTATGAACATAAACAGCATCATTGGATCGGGAATTGTCACTGCACCAGGAATCAT